GGATCGTCTTCACACTCGATGACATGTAGACGACCTGTCGATTTACCACTGGGCTGTTTGACCGTAGATGAGCGTTGGAGTCGGCCCTGCCGCCTCCTCTCATGCTCTGACAGTCGATCCACAAATTTCTTATATGATATTTTGTGGTTGCCCACCTTGGTCTCGACCTTCTCCTTCAGATCGTTGGATGATAGACCATCATACAGACGTCGTTTGAGGGTAGACTCTCTCGGCCCAGCTCGTAGATATACCAGCTCGTCAGCTAGAGTTTCTAGCCTTGATATGAACTGGAATAATGTCTCGCTAGATCGCTGGGTACAAGTGTTGAATTTGTACTCGGCTCGAGACAAAGCCTCATCCGTGTCGAAAGTTTTGCGTAGTTTACGACAAAGTCGACGTAGATGATGCTCATAGCTTTGATGACATCTAGCCGGTGGCTCGGTCGCATTAGTTAGCTTACGCCATAGACCGGCATCGATGTTATTCTTAGCCCATAGATAACGGGTGACGGCATTGTGACCCTCCATAGCGAAGTCGATCTCACGGCAGAACATAGTGCCGCTTCTCTCGTCATCATAACCGATGAACGTAGATTTGGATTTGGCCTTAGCAGCATTAGATGCCGCTGAGTCGAAGTCCTTGTCAATAATGCGTGATATGCAAGGCTTCTTATGGCAACCCGGGCACTTAGAGTGGTACCCAGCAATAGATCGCTTCGCCGGAACGTAGAATTCCCCACCTCGGTCAGATCGGTGTCGGTGTCGCGAACCTTCATCACTAGATGAGCTTGACGAATATGACGATTCACGAGCACTACTGTTATGTCCCTTTTTGTGCGATCGCCTTATGATATGTAATCCATTCAGATTGTGATAAGCTAAGCTAGATATTTCCGTGTTTGCAATCATAGATGGATCATTATAAAATCTCTTATCAACTCCTTTATTGCTATGTCGAGTTCACCTTCCCTAGGGTCACAACAAATTGGCTCCGATACCGGGACCTCATGGGCAAAGGTGATCTCTAGTTGGTTCACTTCTGAAGGTTTGGATCTGGACGCGGAGTTGAAGCGGTTGTTTGAATCCATATGTCCTGTCACTGATGGTAGTGAAGGTATCTCGGCCGATCAAGCTTTTAATGATGCTTTGGATTTGGTTCTGGGTCCCGAAGAAGTCCGGCTTCGGGCGGTGCTGCAGGAGATTACGGCATTCCGTATTACTGCTACAAGGAAGGATACGAGTCCAGCCCGTAAGGCTCTTCTCTCTGATTGGTATTCTCCTTTCTTTCGCGGTCATGGTTCTCTTCAACAGCGACTTGATACTGATTTCTCTGCATCTCTTAAGGTGGACGATATAAGAAATCGTCCTGTGTATAATTCTGTGAAGGCTGAGTATCCAGTTCTTGATGACTTCAGTGTCCGCCTGGCAGGTGTTAAATCTGAAGGTGATCAGCATGTTGGTAGTGGTATTGCTCCTACACCAATGGATGATGTTATTGTACTGGAAAATGACGTGGATTCGAAGACTATCAGAGAAGCCCGAAAGGAGGTAGAATCCGTTAAGATCATCGACGGTTCGTGTTATTCCGGCTTTACTGATACCCGTAGTTTCCCATCGTGGC